TATCACCCTAGGTTACCACCACTAAGGGCTATAATTCAGAAACATATGCCCATTCCACAGACCACAGAACGTTTTAGGTCTGTTTTTCCGGATACACCGTTCATAGCCTATCGCAGACCGCCGAACCTTCGTGATATATTAGTACGATCTAAATTCAAGAGGCAAACTAACTCTTGCGACAACCGTAATTTGGGTAGTCATCTTTGTGGTTCATCATGCAAAACATGCTCCTTGCTTGATTCTACACGATCATTCAAGAGCAACCAAACAAACCACATATTTCGGATAAGGCAATCAGTCAATTGCCTCACCAAAAATGTCATTTATCTCATACATTGTAATATTTGTGGTAAACAATATGACGGAGAAACAAAAAAACACTCTCCGTATGAGAATGACACAACATAGATCAGCTATCAGAACATCTAAGCTTGATCAAGCAGTAGCCGAACATTTCAATTTAGCTGGTCATTCAATTTCAAATTTCAGAGTGATGGCAATTGACCATAATGCCAGTTGGAGCGACAAAAATCGCAAAGATAAAGAGAATCACTGGGAACTTTTACTTAAAACAACCACACCATTTGGACTCAATATTAGGAACGTTCTCCCAGTACACTAAATTAAACCAATCCATTGGCATTTCAATTTATTCTGGATAAATCATTTGGCTTATTTATTGAGGCTTGCCTCTAAAGTTTAGTTTTGGCCTTCCTGATTACTTGTTTAGACTGTTTATTCTAATCTCACCCAGCCTATTGTTTCCAATCATGCTTGCATGAAATTCTCACTTTATACCATCTAGCTTTTTCTACCGTCACTCACTCGCCACTGAGGAAGAACTAGTGTTGTCTGAAAGCTCTGGTTCTATTTCTGGCTGTTTACTTACGTTTACTTTTTAGTTGTTGCTTATCATTTTGTATCTCTACTGAGATCCAGCCATTGTTTCCCACAGCATTGTTGTTTTTCAGTATTTTGCCTTTTATATATATGTATATATAATATATATATATATATATATATATAGTTAGTATTATGAGGAAAATTATTTTTGGTGTTCTTTTATCTGTATTTTTGACCCAAGAAAGGAAACTTTATGTAATATTTATATGATGAATAAATTGAACCTTGAACCTTTGAAAATACAATTATACAAATTTCAGATTTTTCCAATCAATCTATGTTATGCTATTAAATAAAATCATCCCCCCCCCCAACACGCGTAAGCACATACGCCAGTGGTGGCGCTAGCGTGGATGGCAGGGAGAATTCCCCCTTCGTCGGACAGGCTTGAACCCTCTTGTCGTCCGACGCACGACTGAGTAGTCTGATCAAAAGTTTAAAAAAACAAAAATTTGCCTATGCAAATAACGTTATTTTGATTGATAATCCCTTGTCATCTAAAATCACATTTTGGGTCATAATAAGGCATAAAAACTCTTCCATTGAACCCTACAAGAGAGTTGTTAATTCCGAGCCGTCGACAGAGGCTTCATTTTACCTTAGCCTCGGACCCCTTCGTCGAACCTGTCGGACCCTTTGTCGGCAAATTTCTTGCGCCACTGCTGACACACGCTAAGACCCTCGAGTATGCACCCAAAAAGGCAGACCAGTTTCAAACGTTTGAAAATTTGCAGTCGTAGACGCAATCAGCGGGATCTCTCAAGTCAATCGCCTTGGAGAGACCACCGCCGCATGGCCTATTCAAATATGATTTGTTTTTGATCAATTATTTTGTTTGAATTAAACTTTCCCAAAAACAATAATTTCATTACACAATGAGTAAGAATGACAAAATGCAAACAATAATTATAACAGAATGAATACCCAGATAAAGTAATAGAAGAGGAGGACAGAAACAGGTAGAGAGACGACTTGAAAACATACAGGTAGTATTGGTTTAAAGAAACATCAGACAGAAAGAGGTAGAAGAGTTTAGAGCAGGGGTCGCGCCAGGATTTGCCCGACGGGGTAGGGGCCAAGGTCCCAGACGGGGGGCCGATGCCCCGACGAGGGGTGAGATTTCCCCGACGAAAGCAAAGTGGGCATGGTCGAGCTTCGTTTAAAAGGTTTCGAAAGTGGTCCAGGGGACAAAGCCCCCGAAAATTTTGACAATTTAGGGGTTTCAGAGGCTCATTTATTCGATTTTTTTCTTTTTCTCCCCGACGGGTGGGGGGCAGCTCTCCCCGACGGGGGCCGTAGCCCCCCCCCCCGCTGGTTCCACCCCTGGTTTAGAGTAGGGGTATGTTCAACAATGGACTGAGGAAGTAAGTAATGTTCTATATCTGAGTTCTGTTTTTACAGTATGTTATTAATAGTTTAATAATAATCTGTCTGATTATAGGCTTTTATATTTCCATAAATTTTATGATACAGGAAAACTGTATCAGTGATTTCGCAATCATTATACCTAAATAATTAGGCCTATTAATTACTTTAACAGTTATTACCACAGTTTTATATATTTTATATGTATATATTTCTTTTTTTTTATTGATATAATTTTTTTAAAGTATAATAAACTTGATAACAATATTATGGTTTACAGTTTAAGTATATAGACATATTAGGTGAGATACAATTAAATAAAATACTGTAAAATAAGACAAAAGTTTAAACAAGTAAATTAGTCAAACAAAAGTAAAGGAAAGAAAATTGTGTACCAACAGTAGATACAAAATCATTGGCATCAAGTAATTTTGAATAGAGATATTAGTTATTTAATGGAAAAGTACTATAAATGCGTTTGCGTTCTTTCCATGCATTAATTAAATATAGCTTGCAATTTTTTTTCTACATATTATATATACCTGATATCCCACCGGAAAACATAAAGTAATGTACCGAGGATGGCTAGGAAAGCTGCTAAGCAAAATGTTACAATGAGGACAGTTGTTATGACGTCATACTCATTGCATATCAACGAATCTGCATCAAAGTTAACTAAACTTGTTCCATTTATGTTTCTGCACTTAGTTTTATTGATTTCTACCAATGTTGCATTGGTTTGGTTTATCCAGTGACGAAACCATACCAGGTTACAATCACAGACAAATGGGTTTTGTGAGACTCCAATCTGAATTAATTTGGTCAAATTCTGTAGACCCATACTTCGACTTATTCTTATTATCTTATTGTCTTGTAAAAATATACGACGTATCTTTGATGAACCACGGAATACGTCATCATTTAAACCATTAATACTGTTACGTGACATATCAACACGGCTTAAAAAAGGATGGTTTTGGAGTAAATCAGAGGGCAGAGAGACTAACAGGTTTCCAGTCAAATATATTGCAGTCAAGTTTCCGCAATTTTTGAATATTCCACTTTGTAGTGTTTTGATTTCTGAATATCTAATGTAAAGATATTTCAACGCCACTAGTTTCTGAAACCAAACGCTTCGTATATGCGTAAGAGCACGGTTGGAATCAAGATATAACGAGTTTAACTTAGTGAGGCAATCAAAAAAATGATTATCTATACTTAGATGTTCTAACTGATTATTTGCCAAATTTAAGAATTCGAGTTCACGTAAATTGGTAAGTTCACCAAACTTCAGTCTGCTGATGTCATTTTTAAAGAGGTCTAACACCTGAACATCAATTGGTATATCTGCTGGGATGCGTTTGAACCTATTACGTCTGCAGTTAACATTTTTAACAATCCATTTTGTTGTGACTGGTCCTTTTTGGTTGTTACTACGCTGACAATAGTAACAATTACATTGTTTTGGGCATATCGTAGTATTCGGTGTCTGTGTGCCGTTTATCCTGAACGGGTTGTACGGCCAACACTTTCTTGACATGCAGCTGGGTGTCACTATCAATACGAGTACAGCGTAATATAGCATACCGGTAACCGTTGTAAAACTTGTAATAATAAATTTGTAATATTTCTTAAATTTCAAATGTCAAATGTCAATGGCAAAATCTGCTTTCTTTATCCAATTTTACAGTATGACACAAAATAAATCACATTAAATATGATTTTATTTTGATCTTATTACCCATTAATTCATTCCGATCTTTTTGCTTCAAATCGAAAAACCAAATCCATCAAATGTTAAGTTCAGTGTAAAAACATTGACTGAAGTATTTCTTAACATAGTTTTAAACACACAGATATTGGCAGGTGAATCATGGCAATAGGTTAGAAATAATAATTTCGTTGCTCAATCCGTTGCAATAGTGTAATATAAACTAATCCTTAGAACCACGTCGAAATTTTTGGGATTCACAAACAATATAATACATTTGAAAAAAGTGCTAAAAAATATCAGTTTAAACAAGGTAGTATCATGAACACTGTATGGTCCCCAGTGAACGATTGAGTGTAAAATCTGTTTCAGCATAAATATTTGGAATACAGTTCTTCCTTGTTTCGCTTATTGTTTCATTATTGTAGTCACGCTATTATTATGGGTAATTAACATGTAAATTGCTAAAGCCAATGTTTTATGTGTTTATCTTTAAGTTTACAATTGAAAAGCTTGCTTTCATTTTGCCGTTGTTATCATTAGACATTGTTATTTGATATATGATAAAAGTGTGTAAGCGCAATTAGACTCCATAATTGATAATATTAACAATTAATAATATTAGTATTAATGTTAATATTATTATCATAACCATTATTATCATTACCAACATCAATATCATGACCATAATTATCGTCTTTTTCGACATCGCCATCGCCATTACAGGGAAGACTTATAAACCAAGTCTCTTAACGAGACTTATAGGGATCTTCATTTTAGTTGTAAAGAAAGTCCTGCTGACACTGGAAATGAACCCAGGACCCCGGGATTAGAATGCATACATATTAACCACTGAGTTTTAGTACACCATTCCATTATTCATCATCATCAACACTAGCATAAACATCATTATCACTGACATTGTCATCACTGACATTGTCATCACTGACAATGTCATCACTGACATTGTCATCATCGCCATCGTTATCGGTAGGCCTATTAGCACTTAAGAACATTATTCAGAAGTAATACGGTAGTTTGGCAGGCCTCAATTACTGATTGATACTAATTATCATCTCATAATTGTATTGAATTTTATGTTTTGTTGTTTGTCAAATTATTTTTCCACCAATTATGAAGGTACTAAAAATACAGGACTTAAACTACAGTGTATATCTACATAAAAGCTGGGAGTAGATTTAATTCATTCGGTCCGAAAACTTATCCCGAGAGCGGTAAATGTGGTGGTTATCGGGCATGGACAGTACGCCACCGCCAATACCCTACTCGTTTACAACTAGTGTACTGCGTTCCTTAATTTCATCCAAAAATCCTTGCTTTTGGGAATATTTACTATTAGACCTACCCCCATCTCATTGACTAAAGGCAGAAAAAGCGCATTTCGGCATCTGTAAAATAAAAGCTTTCCGGTGGAGGGCCCTGATCCCCTCCAAATTTCTCTACCACATCAAAGTTTGTTGCTTTTCCTGAACCTCGACTACCTCTGTCAAGTATATGTCTTAAAATTGTTGAAATAAACCGTATAAATGGGAACAGCGAATATGATGTTATGCCATGAAATAAGTGTTATTAAAAGTTTCTGATAAAAACATCTTGAGGAATTTGTTGAAGCTTTATCTTGACCATGATGGTTATCTGATGATGAGGAATTTTACTACATATATAAGAGTTATTTCAGGCAGAGGAACAAATTTTCACACTACACCATGGTGGTGCTCACAGGGTTGGCCACAAGATCTGCCCGACGGGGTTCGATGTCCCCGACGAGAGCATAGTGAGTACGGACGGCCGTCACTCTTTCGAAATAGGACCAGAGAGCGAAGCCCCTCCAAAAAATATGAAATTTAGGGGTTTCAAAGTCTTATTTGTACTAATGTGTAGAAAATACATAGGCCTATATACTGTAATTTTTTCTCCCCGACTAAGTGTAGATATTCTCCCTGACATAGGGAGCTCTCCCCACCTTCCCCTTCCCCCCGCTTTTGCCACCACTGGGTGTTCAGAAAAATGTAAACTCAGGAATTCCCCCATCCACTTTACCTTTCAAAAAAGAGCTTTCCAAATTATATGATGGACTTTTTGATGTCATGAGTCCTTTCATCACTCACTAAGTTATTCCTGCATTCTCACTCCCGAGAATGTAGGAAAGTGCATTCCCAGCTAGAACACACCCATCTGTTGACAATATAAATGAAATTACAGTAGTAGCCCTATTATAGGGGGACACCTTCGGGACCAAAATGGTTTCCTCTTTAGTGAGGTGAAGTGAAATTTCCCCTTTAGTAGGGATTTTAGCATGTCAGTCATTCAATGAGGACGTATTCTTTGATTTCAATTGATTTATAAATGAAATAAAATTTTCAATAATTCCCAATGCAAAATACATTTATGGATTAATCGCCATAACTCCTGACAATGCAGGAAAATGCATATTCCAGCTAGAATATGCCCATCTGTTGTCAATATAAATGAAATTACAATAGAATCCGTATCATAGGGGGACACCTTCGGGGCCAAAAAAATTCCTTTTAATAGGGATGTCCCCTGAATAGGGTACGCCTACAGTATTAAGGCTGTCTCTTGGGGTGGGGAATGTAGAGCCCGCAAATGTAAAAATCTACCACAAATGTAAAAACAACCACATATGTAAAAATATTGTACCCACAAATGTCATAATAATCCCAAATGTCATAACATGTCAACCACATTATGTAAATATGTAAAAATAACCACAAATGTAACAAAATTTAACCCACAACTTAGTGTAAAAATCTCTTTAATCACAAATGTAAAAACAATTCACCTACAAATATAAAGATTTCCAATTTTACCTCTAAATGTCATAACATCTCAACCGCAAATATAAAAAATCATTATAAGATAAGTTATTATTAGATGTATGTGTCTGTTTGTGTGCGAGGATTTCCCATAGAGCATTAAAATCCTTAAAATTGAAAGATCCGAATTATATCAGTTACAATTTGAATGGTGTCTGCGTATTTTACCTGCACACAACTAGCTATCATTGTGTACATTTTTACGCTGACATATTTTTAACAAAAGGAAAACAAAAGCTAGGAATTAGAGGAACTGAATGTGTTTTTCGGGTGCAATGTTTCTACATTTTTTGTTATATTTAACTTTGTGGTTGATTTCTACATGTAGGCTCTAAGGAATACGGTTTATAGGCCTATAGTCCTATTTAAACGGTTGTCATCTTTTACAACAGGATCTGGAAAGGCTGTATAATTGGTCTTCTACTTGGAAAATGTCTCTCAATCCACTTAAGTGTCCGGGTTCTTTATTATCTCTTAAGAAACTATTAGTTAATTTTGATTACAACATTGATGGTTTGTTAATTGAGAAGGTTAATGTTCAAAAAGATCTTGGAATTTACATTGATTCTAAGCTTAATTTTAACAAACATGTTGACTATTTTGTATCCAAGGGTAGTAGGATGCTGGGCATGTTTTGGCGGCACTGTAAAGACCTCGATAGTAGCACCAAACTTCATCTTTATATTTTTCTTCTTAGACCCATTTTTGACTTTTCATCTACGATTTATAATTCTATTTGTATTTCTCAATCAAATCGCATTGAACGAGTTCAATCCAAATGTATGTATTTTATTAATTCTAACAACGTTATTGGCCCCTTTACATCTCTCACCACTTCACACTAGAAGGGGCACGTTTGATATAATCTTCCTTTATAAATGTTTTAACTCGCTTTTTACTTGCCCTCTTTTATCTTTATTTATGTTAAAAATACATAGACCCAATTAACGTAACACTGACTTATTTTCTGTGCCCCTTAGCCGGGTTTTATTCACAGACTCTCCTATAACTATAATACCATTACACGTAACGATACCACTATTGACATATTTTTTAACAGTATTTCCACGTTTAAATCCAAAGTTGCTATTTCAGCATAGGCCTTCTTTCAGTTAAGCTAGGGACTGTCTATATTGTCGATTTGCTTCCTTTGTATGTTTTTGTTTGCATTTTACTATGTTTTATATATTGTATGTTTATGACATCCTGTAATGGGTGATTCCGCTGTTGGATGTAATTGAAATAAAATAAAACAAAAAAATAAAATATTTTCCAATAACCCACAGTGTCGAAACGCCAGAGATCCCTTGACCCTAAAAATGCTACCTTATTTCAATGAAACCCATTCCATCGCTGTTTGAGTAATAGTAATTACTTCTGTTTGAGGACCCATCATTACAACACTCTTCTTTCGAAAAGCTCGGAAAATTTTTACCAATGAGGTGGTAATAAATTGTAATGCATGTTTTTGTAAATTTATATTCTAGAGCTTTATTTCCATACCCTATTAAAAGATATACGACTTTTGATGTATGTTTTGAGCTATCATGCTTAAATAATAACATTAAATAGGCCTATTTTAACTTACTTTGTAGGCATAAATCTCTGTCCATTCTATCAAATTATCAAATTTTCTTTGACAAAAATCTTCTATACAGGCTATATGGTCATGATATGATGTCATCATGGCGTTATTTAGGCATATGTCACGTGTTTTTGTCAAATAAAGTTAGATAGTCTGGACAGGGCTTTAGTGAAAATGAGACAAAATATTATTCTTAATCTAAACAGAAGCATAATTATTTCTTATAAATATATATATATATATATATATATATATATATATATATATAAAGACTTAACTTATTTTGAAAATCAAAATAAAATTTTCCACAATTTTCTATTGCTAGCAACTTCATAATCTAAATCGTTAGCATTCAATAATCTTTGCACAGTGTTTTCTGGATTTTAGCACATCTCAATTTAATAGACGGTCGTGGTGAGCATTCGGAGTATTCAAAGCCGCCGCCAAGCGTGTCCAGAACACCTTCTGACCATCTGGATTTTCAGTCCATTCGATGTAGGTCTTCTTTCTCAAGATCTTCTGAAGCAATGTCGGCATATTTCTACTCGCCACATGCTCTAATATTACAACTACTAAAATGTCCTCGTGATGGTCAAACATACGTGTTCGGGCCATTTCCATTTCAAAGTAACACCATTCACTTTTAGCAAAGTTTTTGGTGACAACTATCAACATTTTGCGACTATATTTAATAGCATCAGAAATATTGTCAGCAATCGCTCCCCCAACTACAAAATCCCTGAAGTCAACGCAAAGACGAAATAATAAATCAATTAAAAACACTTTTAAAGCATCTATTTTTCAAAATATTATATAAGTAATCATTGTTACATATGAATTTATATTGTGATCTTTTTTACTTTTTTATGATAATTATTTTTTTAAAAATTTTTATGATCTATTACTACTTTTTTATTATTATTTTCTTGTTTTTATTATTGCTATTGCTGTTGTTCTGATTTCTGAATTATTTTTATTTGTATGGATTTCATTAGTTCATATTTCTTATACGTTTTTAAAATGTGTATTTTATATTTGTTTTGTTGGGGACCCCTTATCAGATCCATCTATTAATGGTGAGCTGCACAGGTTATCCTCGTTTAATAAAGCTCAAATAAATAAAATAAAAAATAAATCAATTTGTTTCAGTTATGTTTCAATACTGCATGTTTCTATTTTTAAATACTAACGCTAAGTAAACAGAATACTTAAAATAAAATTAAAACACAGTTCAAATCAAAATTATGGTACAGTGTCATCTTAAACTAATAAAAACAACTTATTGCTGAAAAAGTATACATACATAATTAATGCACATGAGCATAAACATAAAAAAAAACACATAGGCCTAATACGTAGTGTACATGGTAAATCCGTACATGTATATCAATACACACAAACACCCCCCCCCCCCACACACACACACATAACACTTAATACACCTACACATACACACCCACTTAGGCCCGATTCATACATAGGGGCCTACATATATATATAATAAAAGAAATTTTAACTAAAGTGAAGTCATACAATGTATAAAGACTAAGTTTAAAATGTTCATTTTCTTTTTTATTTCATTTCTCTTTTTCCTGCCTTTGTAGCATAAGGTTTACAATATCTGTCAAATTATTTTTCAATTTCTTTGTGGAAAGTCAAGTAGAGATGAGCCAAGAACATACATTAATTTCTGATCAGTTGATAAATTGGTGCAACAAAGTATTGTGATATATATAGCTCTAGTTCAAATGTTCCAAGTTCTTCCAGTCTGATATTATGAAGGGCAGAACACGACAAAAGAAAAACTCTAGTATCTTCAATAGAATAAGAATTACAGATAGCATAACTGAGTAACAAATATTGCGTCCTCCAAATTACAGATATTTTACTGCAGATTAATTGAGTAAAAGTAAAATATTTAGTAATTTCTACCCGAACCCTAGACGCCAGAGGATAGTAGGCCTACTCAGGACTAATTTAATTTTTAAAATATTCACATCGGGCCGGAAATATGGTGTTCACTAGGGTGGATTGGTTGTGCTATGGCTTAGGCTAATTCAATTAAAAAGTGATCATTTCTAATTGTATAAAATTACTTAGCCTATTCGCCAATTGCATGAGTTATTAAAGGGCCTCAATGGTACTCTCGAACAAACCGTCGAAAGAATTTTGCTAGTGGACTTTTTCCTAGATAGATAATGCATGTTGGCTGAGGGCTAAATGACTCAAAAGTTTAATTTTAAATACGGTATCATCATGGAGGAAGAAAATAGCTATTTTCTTCCTCCATGGTATAATGTAAACGATGCAACTTGACCACTTGACGGAATAATTAACATTTTAATGTGTTAAGTTATTACGTAATTTAAGACCACCTTCAATTTCTTAATTAGATTGATATTTGATAGGCACGTTTTCCAACAGAAGCATAATAAAAGACTGCCTGTCTTCTTATAATCGCTTACATTGGCTGATAAGCGATTAAAAGTTTTAGTTAATCAGGCTGGAAATCAAAATTTTTCAAGCTTTATCTCATTAAATGTTTATTTTTTTATCTTTCGTGATGAAATAAACAAATTTCATATACATTCGAAAAAGATATAAATACAAAGTGTTCATTCGAAAAAAACGAAATTCTGGCTTTAGATATTTTTAACAATAAATATAAATTATATCAACGGACTTCGTCAAGGAAGAAGAAAAACTTCACTTGAATCCTTTTGAACATTTTCTTTTAATTATGAATGTTTTATTTGTTACAATACTTAATCCTTTTCTCCCCTTTTTTTGAAGACTCAGTCCCTACCTCTCTTTCCCTTTGTGTGGATTTCACCCACCTTAGTTACTTTCTATGTTTCTGTTCAAATTTTTATCCTTTTTAATAAATCTTTTTTTCTCTCTATTTATAGTACTAGTACAATGCTCATCTTAAGCTTTATATAATGAAAAAATAATCCTTGATAGGCAAATCATCCATATATAATTCAATTATTATTATTTTATAATTTTATTTTGTATTTTTTTGTTTTATTGCTACCATAACTCACTGAAAATGTTAATTCCTATTTAAGTTATACGCTGACATTGGTGACGATAAGCAATGTAAGCTTAACATTTTTTTGAATTATTATGGGTATTTTAGATTTTTTAAAAAGAGAGTATATTCATCACCGACACAGTAAAACACAGAATGATGTCCATCAAAATTTTACCTGATATCCCACCGGAACGTGTATATGATTATAGATACAACTACTAAGAACACTACTGAACTACAGGTACTAATGACGGTAATTATCGCAATACCATAGCATCTAAGAGAATTTGCATCAAAGCTAACTAGACTAATTCCATCCTTGTTTTTACATGTAGCGTGCTCGAGTTCCACAAGTGTTGCTTTGGTTTGGTTAATCCAGTTACGAAACCATACCAGGTTACAATCACAAACTAATGGATTGTACTCAATTCCAAGAGCAATCAACTTGGTCAACTCCTGGAATCCAATTTTTTGACTGATTGTTGTCACCTTGTTTTTTTGCACGAAAAACCGCGTCACGTTCGGTGATCCAAGAAATAGGTATGAAGGGAGTAAACCGATGTCATTCGACTCAATATCAATATTTTTCAGAAATGGAAGGTTGTGAAATATATTGATAGGGAGTTTAGCTATCTGATTTCCGGTAAGAGAGATTGTTTGAAGTTGAAGACAATTATCAAACAAACCCTTTTCGAGAGTCTTAACAACCGAATGCTGAATGTATATAGATTGTAAGGATACCAACTTAAGAAACCAACTTTTGCGAATGTTAACTAATCCACGATTGTAATCCAGATGCAAAGATTTCAAGTTAACTTGGCTATCAAATATATGATCATCCATCTCAGATGATAATAAACTATTGTAATTCAAATACAATGTTTGTAGCTGAGTGAAGTGCACCAGGCTATCGCCGCTGATGCCAACAATATAATTTTGGTTCATGAATAAATCACCTACATCCACCGGAATCGATGCTGAAGGAATATGAGTATATGGTCTCTTATTGCAGTAAACTTCATGTCGAGAGGACACTGAATGTTTGTCAGAAATTCTGCAGTATGCACAATAGCAACTGTCTGGACAGACTGTGGTGTTTGGTGCCTGTGTTCCGTTGATTTGCAACGGGTTTAACGGGTAGCGGCAAGTTTTTGTCAGCATCGAAGTTGGTGCAGACATCTTTATGTAAAATAATCCAAGTATTATTATTAAACTTAACATGTTGAGTACTTCTAGAACCTTCAAATAGAAATCAGTTATATTAAAACTGAATACGCGATCTTAGCCTATTCAAATTCCAACGAATCCGAATAAAAGTACTGTACTAATTCACTCCTATTTTACAAGGAAACAAATACATGTTATGTACTGTCTCGACCTTCTTTCAATGAGACTGTCGTACATTACAATGCTGCTCAAAAAGGCGGAGCTATGTAAATTATTGCAGGTTTTACCATCTTATTTTTATGTGGGAATTTTACCATCTTATTTTTATGTGATCGTTGTTCCTTATAAATCAATGCAATATGCTGCTAATAAGTGCTTTGAATGGTTCATGAATATATTCACAACTTAGTATTTAGTAGAATTTTAACGTTTGTACAATTTAAATTTTAATCCAAAGAGTGATATTCGTAATCGAAAAAGGAAGTTTTTTTTTATCTTATCTTATCTTATCTTGAAAATGATAATGGCGAAGAAAAACGATTTTGAAATTTTTACAAGAATGACAATTTATTACTAGTGTACAGTCGGCTTGAGCGACGCTAACAGGGCGAATATAAATTTTTTTTTAAAGTTTGTAAGTCCCCACCCATTCGTAAAAATGTTCAAACGAACTTAAAAAGCAAAAAAGCAACTAATCATTTTAAACATGTTGTTTATTAATTGGTACGTCCTATTAATGTGTGTATATTCCTGCCTAATTTTAATAATCTTCCTTGGAGAGATTGGCGACAGTGAACCATGAGAGTTGTTTCTAGGTTTTAGGTTGACAATGATTTCTAGCTGTTGAGTCCTTTGTAGGACTGGTCGTTATGCAGAAATACTTTCCACTATATTTCGAGATATACTTCACAAAAGTTCTTTTGTTTTGTTTTTTGTTTTTGTTTGTTTGTTTGTTTGTTTTTTTTTTTTGCGACCCTCAGAAAAGTTTTGGCGACTCAAATTTGAGTCACGACCCATAAGTTAAGGAGCAGGGCTATGTACTACTGTATTCTGTTGTAAACGCACACGTTACATTTCGATATGCACTGGCATGTATCTTATACCGGTTGATCGATTGTGAATCGACTACCTGGAAGCAGGGAACAGTGTAATTTCACCGTTCCCTGCTGGAAGCTAGTTACTGTGTGATGGTTTAATGAACATAATATACACCGGTAAAACTTCAGTGCACAAAAACATACTAAAACCACTGCATGCAACAACACTAAAGCAGGAAATAAAATGTAATTCAATCTACAGTAGCAATTTTGTTATGGAATAAATATTCCTAAGCTTTGGCTACAGGGAGTGCTATAATCCGACCAATCATAGGATAGAACGTTTATTACTATGGGTTCAACAAAATAATTCTAAAACACAAAGGTACCAGTATACTTATAATATTATAATTATGGTCTCTGACACTGTCCCAGTTTCTGTCCCAACTTTCAAAATAGCTCACAGTTCAAAAATACCTTTACAGCGTAAATCGTACAGTTCTTCCTTAACTAAAAATAAATAAATAAATAAACAACTAAATTCATCGTATTCTCAGTATAGAGTACTACTGTACTGTATTGTGGTGTAAACTAGAAGGTTTTATCTCGATATGCATTGGCATGTCTATTTTATGTATCTTACACCTATACAGCATACATCATATACTTCTTTTAATTAAATAAATAAATCAATATAAAAATAAATAAATAAAGTAAAATAAATTCAAAGTATAGTCAGTATAGAGTACTAATGTATTGTGGTGTAAACCCACAGGTTTTAACTCGATATGCACTGGCATGTCTACTTTGTATCTTTACCACAGCATACATTGTAGTTCTTTGTTAATTAAAAAAAGTAATAATACTACTAATAATAAAATATTAAATAAATAAAAAAAATAAATCCATCATACTCAGTACAGAGTACTACTGTATTGTAGTGTAAACTCATAACTTACATCTCGAACACTGTCATGTCTACTTTAAGTATTGTATAGTTCTTCCTTAATTAAAATATATAATAAGTAATAAATAAAATAAATTTATCGTAAACCCACAGGTTCACGATATGCATAGGTATATCCACTTTACACAGCATACATCGTGTATTTTTTTCAAGGAGTAATCATTAAAATCGGTCTATACAATGCAAAAATAGCACCTTTTCCCGGGGCCTCCGGCCCCTGAACTCTGGCCGGGGACCCTTGGCGGCCCCCAGTCCCCCAGCCTCAGTGCTAGTTTTGCTTGCAACCTCACCACAGTTCAGTTCTTTCCTGAGTAATAATTTGACATTGTACTTTTCTCACTTAAAATAATTTAATATCCTATTAGAATTCCCGAGGGATTAAGGCAAGGGAAATAAAAACAACATTATAACGTTGGTTGAGCTCCATGACCTAATAGATATTATGCAAATCAGAAACTCTTACACTGTCATTTCGTAGAGCCCTAAAATTGGTTCCTATGCCTAAACGTAGGTAACCTAGTGAGCACCAAGCCTTTTAACTGTTCTACAATATACCCGAATGACATGCAAGACATCATTTTATACACCAGGGACTCTTACACGAAACACATCAAAGTGCTAATGGGCTCTCAATTACATGGTCCTTTTATGATAGCCAGTTCCGTCTTGCCAGGAAGCCTCCTGTATAAATTTTGCGTAATATACGCAAAACCTCCGAAATCGGAGTTTTCCAACTATTATTCAAACCTCCAATTTCGGAGTTTCTGCGACTACAATCTCTCGCTCTCTCTCTCTCCCTCCCTCTCTCTCTCTCTCTCTCTCTCTCTCTCTCTCTCTCTCTCTCTACTTAGTCGCGGCAGTGCACATGGGTTTTAACCGTGACACTAAGTAAATGCTTAATTTGTAGGCATAAAGGTCTGTCCACACTATCAAATTATCAAATATATATGGTCATGGTGTGATGTCATCATGACGTGATAGTCTGGACAGGGCTTTAGTTAAAATGAGACAAAAGCATAAGTATTCCTAATATTAATATATATATATATATATATATATAATAATAATAATAATAATAATAATAATAATAATAATAATAATAATAATAATTTGCGAATTGTATAGCGCCTCCCGTTGGACCAACCTCGCAGGTGCTCAAGCGATGGCGGTATCTAGCTAGGCAGTTAATGGGAAAAGAAGGAAAATAAACAAAATAGTGGTAAAAAGTGTCTTAAAGGAATTCAGCAAAACTTTCATTTTAATGATGTTCTGCAGTAGTAATGTAATACAATAGTTTACAAATGTTTTTTTTAAATAAAAATATATTTTAAACTACCATCAGGGCTATGGAGCAAAATAATAAAAACACTTTGAATTCAAACCAGGCAGGTTCATTCTAGAGAAAGATTGTTACTCATAACATCGTTGTTATTTTCGTATTTTGCCTTTTGATATTGACAAATATATGAACTACCTATGAACGAAAAATAATATTGCTAATACTACTGTACACTTTCAATTAATACACGTATTTAAGAGATACTGTATTTATTTATAGAAAATAATGTTGCATACTAAAATATATATATACAGGTAAAGGCATATAGTTGTTTCTTGTCAGTTGAAATTTTCTTTCTTTATGGCAGAAGCAATTTAGTGAAGAAATGTCCCAGGCAAGTGTATAAGGGAACATTTGTCTTGAATTTTTGCAAGCTCACTGTGGGTAGCCCTAACACTGGATTTAAACTGAAAAGGAATGCCTCCTAGTTTCTTAATCAATTATTATAAATCTTATACTAAAAAGAAGAAAATAATGTAAATTATCATTTACCGTTCACCGCAGGTACCTGATTGATGTCAAGAGGGAATATGTTGAACCTAAACAAACTGGTGGAATTTAGCCTTTTTCCTATTCAGAACCTAATCAATTAACTTGTGGTCTGCCAAAAAGTGGTCAGGTTGAAAGCTGACCAATCGTACCGGTGGCTTCGGCCCTGTGCATTCCTAGAGCTATAAGGAAACAGTAGTTACCAAGTTTACTCAACATACACTTATGCTCTCGGACGACAACGGATACGCAGTTAAGATGCAAACAAACCTTCAGTCACTGAAACATTATATGCGCACACCGCCTCCATTTGCAGTACACCATAAACCTGGAAGCCCAATATGCCTAGCAAGAGCGCTAAACTAATACGTCCATACGACCCTGGAATCCAGGACACTTATTTCTGCTTCAAAATGAAACCCAAGCGCGCAGGGAAGTGGTGCTCTCAGTTTTAAATCAGGCAGCTCATTACGCCAACCTGGACTCAAAGCGGCTCAACACCCATATTTTCAGAGTAGGACGTGCCACTGACTTGCATGATTGGACGATACACCATCTAATCTAATACACCATCATGAACAGGGTGTTGGCTCGTCGGTATCTTGAACGCATGATGGGAGCTTAAGTTGCATGATTCTTAACTAGTCGTTTAACGTGTGACTGTGCTTCCTACTTTGTACAGGTGCCAGCACATGTTGCCTCCACCCCCACCTTTCGAATTTTCCTCTGCATTTTGAACAATAAGTATTAGAAGACTAAATGCAGACTGAAAGTCAGCACATGTTGCTCTAGAGCTGGTTTCTAATGATGCATACATCACTAAGACAACTTTTCACTTCACTTGATGCTAATATCTTTCATTGTTTTTGTCATGATGAAGGTTTAGCAAATTGCTGATGTGATAAAGGTTCAGCAAATTGCTGGCTCAAGTTGCTCGTAAACTCCGGAGTTTTAAGATTACGGTGAAGGTTCAGAATAGCTGCCTCAATCTGCTTGTAAACTCTGAAAAAAAAACCCATCACAATGAAGGACCAGCGTAGGGCTGCCTTGCTGCTTACTATTTAAGACAAAACGTAGACTGGAAGTCAGCACATGCTGCTCAAGTGCTGGTTTCTAATGATGCATACATTATATGCTGCTCAATATTTTCCATATAATTTATTTGTCTACTTCTGTTGTT